ACCAACAGTTTTCCACCTGCCACCAGTTACGCAATCGCTCTTGTTAAATCACCCGCAAACCATGGTTCAGCCCCTCGCGCAAAATTCCACTTTGCGAGCGCAAATTACTGCACGCAAAATTGGATCTTGATAAATCCGGCCCTTATTTTCTTAAATCTCAAATTTGATCAAATAACAGTAAACGGGGATTCTTAAAACAAAGATTTGGTGTTTCTGAAAAGTTATTAATGCACTGGATAGTTTATGCTCTCAACACTGGGTTCGTGCTCCTTTGACTTGAGTTCCTGAGGCGTGGGAGGAAGGCTACAAGCCTCTATCGCTGCTGAGGTGGTAAAAAACCTTGGATGCAAACACCCACTGGTTAAATGACTTTGTGAATCATCACTGACCATTAACATTTCACACTGGACCTGTTAGAAATTTTGTTTCTTTACCTTTTTACTTGATTTTTGGAACTTGTTCCCAAATAAATGTTAAATTTGAAAGAAGAACCTTGGAACTTTAAGCAACAAGACAGCCCTTTTTTTCTCTTTACTTCAGGTAAAAAAAAAAAAAGAAAGAAAGAAACTTTTGAAGTTGGTTTGGTGGTTTGGTTCAGTAGTGACTTTAAAGAAAGAGTAAAACAGTTGCTCATCTTGTCCTGGATCAGTCTGTATATAGGGCTTCTAGAAGCATTGATTTTAGCAGCAGTCCAAACCAGGCAACTCTCCATTAAACCCGAACAAAGATTTCTTTCCAATCCTCTAAAGGCCTTTATTCCTATGCACCTGGGCTGTAACCTTGTGCAGCTTTTTCAGGAACAATCTTCCTTTACTCATCTTCCCATTAATATGGTTGGACACAGCACTCTATGAACAGATACCTTATTTCCCAATGACCTTTTATAGCATACCGTCCTTGTCGGGGATGTCAGTGACTGTTAGGTGACCTGGATAGCCCGCAGAAATAAAAAAAAATATTGGTCTTATATTTGGATGTGGGGTTTTGTCAAAGACCATGAATTGTGAGTTTATAATCTATAAGAGGTAATCATCAAAACAGATAGAAATAAACTCTTAAACGTATCTGTTTTTAAATTATATGCAGTATATATTTTCAACTTGTTTGAACTGAGTTCTTAATCTGGTATTTTATTTACACAATTCTTTTGACAATGTTTTCTTAATTATGTTTAATGATTTTTTGGTGAAAAGCTCATTAAGACCCCTTTTTTTCCAAGGGTAGGCATGAGAATTTGACTTGTTTGTGTGCATTCATGTGGATCTAGGATTAGCAACTTTAGCAGTTTGTCATGGTTCATTTACGATCATTTCCTGGTCTCTTACACAATAACTAAAAAGCAGAGATGGCAAAAGTACTCACTTTCCGTACTTGGGTAAAAGTACAGATACTTGTGTTAAAAAATACTCTGGTAAAAGTGGAAGTACTGATTAAACTTCTTTACTCAAGTAAAAGTAACAAAGTACAGGCTTGTAAATTTACTTAAAGTATAAAAGTAAAAGTAGAAACCACTTTTTTCATGCCGTTGCCTACATTTTAAATGGATGTCTGCCAATAGGACTAGATCTCCGTTGTGTTCATTTTCAATCATCTCGTCGTCCATACTACTATGCTAACGCCACCGCCACCAAGCTGCAATGATTTGCCGCGAATGAATACCGCCGAATCTGTCGATTCATCTTGTAGTGGTGCGTCAAATGCAACGTAGATTCCCATCCAATTAGATTGAATTTGGTATTGATGATGTGAAAAATAATAACGGTAACTCCATTGAGATGATTCAAAACTAAAGTAACGAGCCAATTTTTTAAAATGTAAGGAGTAGAAAGTACAGATATTTGTGTAAAAATGTAAGGAGTAGAAGTAAAAAGTCGCCATAAAAATAAGTAGTAAAGTAAAGTAAAAATATCAGAAAAATCTACTTGAGTACAGTAATGAAGTACTTGTACTCCGTTACTTCCCATCTCTGCTAAAAAGTAACACAGGCAGCAACACTTACCGATTGCACTGCAGTGAGTCCCCTATTTGTCAGAATAACGTTTTTTGGTGAAATAGAGTTAAAATAGTGACAGCAAGCCAGTCTAATGTTTGGATCCTTCCACCATTGACATAAATCAAGACTCAAGGATGTTTTCTAGAGTGTCCTTTTGGGCTTTTCTGGTTTAAACAACGAGCCCACGAAAAACCAAGCCAATTTAATGCACCAGATTTTCTGTTTCCTAGCACAAATAGACAAGTTTTAACATGAAAAAGTCAGATTTCTGGGTGATGACTCCTTTAAAAGACATTTATTTTAAAATATGCCATTTAACTGAAATGGATCTTTCCTAACGGGTTCCTAATTTCCTTTATTTGTCCACCTACTTTTCACATGTAGCTTTTAAAACGGCCCTGTCACACCTTGCCAATTTAGACCAGCGTATGTCTGACGTACGGAAAATCTGGCAAAAATGCTGGCACACGTTGGATAAGTTATCGGTACGTTTTGTATAAGTTATGAGCACGCTGAAGTACGTTGAAGCACGCTGGCACACATCCACATGCGGTGAGTGGGTTGAGACGTATGCCAGCATATGCTTATACGTGGGGCATAACTTACAGGTAAGTTATCTGACCGTTGACATACGTTAAGTGTAAGTTACTCATAAGTCGTGGCGTCCAGCTTATCAAAAACCTATGCGTAACTTCTCCTCCAGACTTCATCCCCATCATAGGGGGAGATTGAAGGTCAGTGTGATGGATCCTCCCTGCGTTCACGCCCACGACCAATAAACTTCCTAGCAGACATGATGCTGAATCTGCTTCAACTGCACTGAAAAAAAAATGTTAATCTACAGTAAATAAGTCATTTTTTTCTTAGAATTACGCTGCCGTGCGTTATGCATAAGTTAGGCTGTCGTTCAACATGCTACATGTACGCCCAAAATTGAAAAATATACATTGAAAGTTCAGCATATGCCAGTGTTTTAGGAGATTATGGGACTTCGGGCATCCGCTGTCTAAATCGGCAAGGTGTGACAGGGCCCTAAGGAAAGAAAAGCTCTGTTTATACTCAGTTATTGTATCTATCAGCACAAAACCCACCAAACCAACCAGGTGCCAGCTTTAAATTAAACTTAGTAATTAACTACTGAAAAAGTATATTTGTTTTACTCTTGCATTTAAAAAAAAATTGTTATCCAATCCTGTCTGAATTATGAATCACATGTAAAAACTATTCTACAAATACATTGAAGATATTTTTCATCTTTCAGCTTATCTTCAAAATCATGTTGTCTTTAAAGAGCTTAAAGTAAGAAAGTGGGTTCTCCTCTTTTCTTGCAGCAATACTTCCATGCTGGTGGGAATGGACTGAAGAAAACCTTCCTGGAAAAGAGCCCTGACATGAAATCCCTCAAATATGCTCTCAGCCTTTACACTCAACCTACAGATGCCTTGATCAAAAAATATATATGCACCCAAAACTCTCAAGGTAAGGGCTAAAAGAATGTCTCTAAAAAAATAATAATTGGTTATCTACTTAATAAGCAAACATATAAATTCAAAATAAACATTACATGACTTGAATAATACGTATATGTGAATTTTCTTTTTTTTTTGTTATATAGAAGACAGGTGAGGATTCAAAGAGCATGGCACCTAGTAGAAAATATTCCAATATACAGCTGAGCTGGCTCAGAGAATATCTGTTGTTTCTTTTTTCCATTTCTTCTCTCTAATGTCTGCCAGCGATTATTTCTGTGGAAGAAAAATACAATTTTCTTCAATTGTTTTAGCTTAAAGCTCTTCTGTTTAAGAATTGATTGCTGGAAGTTCAGTCAATCCCATCAGTCACAGATGCAGTTACATTATAGTATTTGTATCATTGTTATGCATTTATTTCCAAGCATTCATTCTTTTTCACAGCTCGAATCATTTGTCTATTCAAGAGTGGAAAAAAGACTGTTATTTTTGCTCCTCTAGCCTCAGATATATAATCAAAGTTTATTTTCCACATTTTATATTCTGAGCACATGCAACCACTGTTTTGAAAAGTGTAAATCTTAAAACCCCCTGAGCTATTTTTTTTTACCTCTGTCATTATTTATTTGACCTCATTTACTCACTTACTTACTTGTCTCACTTTATGTCTTTAGAAAGTCTAACCTCCCACCCAATTACTGTCTAGAACGAGGCAGAAATCCCCTCAGGTGTCCAAAGAGCCCCACAAGGGAATGCTGCCCAGTGGGGCATTGGAGCTCATACCTCCTGCTTGCCTCAGTTTCCTTAACCCACAGATGCTTTATAGGCGAGCAGCAGAGAAGCAGAAAAGCTGAAGGAGAAGGCTCATCTGCCAGGCGGCCAACAGGCCAACCAGCCACACTGCTTTTACTGACTGGCAGATGGGAAGAGTTGCACAGCTTTTTGCTGTGTGCTATTTTGAGATAACTCCCTGTTTCTCCTCTTCCTGCCCCTCTAAGTCACTCATCCCTCTTCTGCCCTTTCTAGGTTATTCACCGTGCTCTCTTCCTTTATCTGAGGTTGCCCAATAAGATGCCTATAAGTGCAGATATTGATGGGCTTTTATCAAAATTGTATGTTGATTGGTACTTTGTGTCCAAAATTTCTGGGAAAATGAATGAAATGTAATCAATCTATTTATTATGCAAATTTTTTCCCCTGCTAAATTTCAATATTCTAATGAATTTGCAAATTTACTGTGGTCCAGCTTTTTGCATCTCTGTTAATCGATGGGGTGAGGTTCTAGAGACACTTTCAACTTCCTAGGAGTTTGTTTCCAAGTTTGAAGATGTTTTGCTTCCCATCCAGGAAGCTTTTTCAATTCAAAATGTCAGAAATACTGTTTAGTTCAAGGCTTTATAGAGTGGACTAAAGTAAAGCATTGTTTTCGGCTTAGACACATGCAAATTAAACATCAAATTGACAGGTGGGTCCTTTGGAACAGGGGTCATTTGGTTTCTTTGTTAACCTGTAATACCCGAAACCTGTCTATATTTCAGAAAGTTGGGTCGTTAGAGGGAATTGTTGGCCTGGGTGAAGAGACAAGGTGCTCTGTTCCCCTATAATGGGGTGGGGGTTGCGATGATAGTGGGAAGGAATCAATTCAATGGCTGAATTGTAGGTTTTTGAAAGCTACAGGCTAACGTTTCAAAGGGGCAGACCCGCTCGTCATGTTCAATTTATATGTTTTTTACGCAAAAAGAAGACTTTGTTTTTGTTCCACTCTATAAAGCCTTGAACTGGATGGGAAGCGAAACGTCTTCAAACTTGGAAAAAATGTCCAGAGGATTGTTTTTTTAACTTTTCTGGAATGATTATGACCTTGATGACTGAGAATCTTCATCAGCAACTTCCCAGGAGCACTTTTTTAATTTATAGTCATCTCACTAGAGTATAATACAGCTTATCTACTAAAAAGTCTAATGTTGATTAGTTTCTTTATAGTAAGAGAGTAATGTGACAGTTAACATCTTATCTTTGTCTTTCATTTTCTTTCACAATTTGTTCAAGTTAAACTTTATCCTGCTCAACACATCTATTATTGTATCTGCCTTTAATCCTTTTCATCTTCATTTACAAATCTAATCCCACTCAAACTCTCTCAGTTTCTCAGATACTCTGTGCATCTCCTTATTTGTTGAATTTTCTGTGACTCATCAAAAAAAAAAACACTGAATCTATCATCCTGTCATCCTGGAACTATAATATGTCATTGCAGGGGTTTAATTTCCCACCAGACTAGACCTCAGCATTGCAAGAGAGCTGTATTTTTCGCCCTTCTCTCCGCATCTCCAGGCATCATTAGTATAAATCTCTGGCTAGTTTCTTAATTACCGGTAGTAATAAGCACTGCGAGTTTGGCGTTTATTGATTAGACATCAGATCAACACGCCCTTTCGTCAGCTGAACCGCCTCATACCTTTCAGGAGTAAACATCTTTATTTCTCCCCCACATGTTCAGGAAAACATCAGATAGCTGAAATGGAAAGGACTCCCCACATTAGACAAAGTGACATACATTGTCAGCAATTCATTGTAACTGTTTGTCCTCCATTGATGAAACTGTATTTAAGGCGTAACTGGGCAGGTTGCTTTGATTAAACATATTGATTTATAAATTATTTGATATTAACTGGATATTAGAATTAAATTTATAACTAACCCAGCACAAAAGATGTAGGTATATTTGAGGATAAACAGTCATTTTAAAACTAACTCTTTAATTTGTTTAATATGTCACTTCCAGCTTTACCATGTAGAGGCTGCAATTGTTGCCCTTTTGTTTTCGTAGAATAGCTCAGTCAGTCTGATTCGATCGAATGGGACTTTTTTTTATAAATTAATATCTTTTTACCGTATATAAACCGTTCTAGTATAGATTTTCTTGTAAGTTAGGTTTTGTCCAGCTGGAAGAGTTTCAATTCAATTTAGTGTATTTATGTAGCGCCAATTCACAACACATGTAATCTCAAGGCACTTTATAGTTCACCAGATCATACAGTCAAATTGATTCAAAGTTTTCTATCTAAGGAAAACCAGTTGATTGCATCGACTCATTGACTCGAAAGCAGTCCCTCACACTAAGCATGCTTGTAGCGACATTGGAGAGGAAAAATTCCCTTTTAAAAGTAAGAAACCTCCAGTAGAACCAGGCCCAGTGTGAGCGGCCATCTGCCGAGGCCGACTGGGATTCAAGGAGACAGAAGCAGACATAGAAAAAGAAGCAGATAGAAAATGCAACTGTAAAAGGTGGTCCTGTCCAACAAGTTTCCTCTTAAATATTGTGTATTTTTAACTAGAGCAATCTTTCATTCAGCTCTAACTACTTTCCCTTTGGCTGTAGAAAAAAATAATACCAAAGTCCTAATGTTAGTCACCGCTAGGTTTCATGGTGAGGATATTTATAATAAGATAGGTGGTGTGTAGGTGAAAAAGTTTCTGCTTACCTGGCCTATATAGAACTGTATGTGATTCTTTAAGCCATGCACAGCGTTTGGTTTTTATAATTAATTTACCAAAAATGACATAAACCTGAGTTGTGTTTTTGTATAAATAGGTCAAAGTGTTCAGTTTTTATTCAGATAGAATTTGGACAACTGAATGATATTGACGCTTTAAGAATAGTAAACAGAAATCTTGTCTCAAAATTTAGCCAGTGGGTCACAGATTTTTTTTTTTTTTTTACATAATATGAATACTGACAATTGATTTATTTGTTTTTGTGTAGAAGGGTTTTTAGTCGGAGTATCAGACATAATTATCAGACATAATTCGTACACCATGTGCGGATTAGAACTGCTGTGATTGTGCAGGAACAACAACAGAGATCGGGGTGTGGGGAGGAGGTTTCTGGTGAAACCTGTGCAGTGTATCTCTCCAAAGCGATACTCTGTTCAACCAGCGTTCCAGGCGGCTGGTTGTCAGAGAGCTGATTAGATCAGTCCTATAAGTTTGGGGTAACTCTCTGGCAGTCACCTAGTTACCACTAAAAGCTGTGCATCCTGTGAAAGGGCAGAGGGTCAATCCTCGAGTAAAAAACAAAAATATAGGACTAATTTTACAGCAGAATATACTTAAGTATATCCACGTCTATTGAAGGTGAGGAACAGTGGCGGATCTAGACCAAATGGACCAGGGGGCCAGGAGGGGGCCAGCAGGTTTTCATGGGGGCACAGAAAAGCAAGAAATAAAAAACAGTGCAAGAGAGCTGCAGGAAGGGAAATTTCTTTTCAATTTGATTCAGTAGAAATTATGTTTTTTATGAGGTCAATATACATTTATAATTTAGGAATTGTACATATTTTTTGACTTAATTTAAGTTAAAACTACCATTTTCTTTAAAAATTGATTTAGAACTCAAGAAAAAACTGTTAAATTCATCTGAAAAAATTAGAGCATTTTTTAATTGTAAAAAAAAAAAAAAATTAACAGATGACAACTTGGATTCTATCTCAGTACTACTGAAGCTATCACCCTATTGTTTTTGAATATATAGTAAGGAAAAGAATGAAATAGATCCAAAGAACCTACCAGTAACCATGTCTGTTCCAGCTCAGATCATCATTACAATTTCTTTTAAGTATTATGTCTTCAGTACAGGGGCCAGGACATGATTTATAGGGGCGCTGGCCCTTGTTGGCCCCTGTCTAGAACCGGCCATGGTGAGGAATGATCACATCGTGGCGGGTTGCACTGTATGCTGAAGTCCCATGAAAAACAGAAAGCACAAACGATGTTCAAGACTACAAGATGGAAAGTATTGAAAATTGAAAATAAAAGACCAATACTGTTCTGTTTTAGAGTTAGTTAATAAACAGTTGTTGAAAAGTTGCTGGCCTTAAGTGTGTATGTATGGGGCATGGTGTGGATTCGTTGTGCGGGGGTGGGGTGGGGGGTGTTAAGCATCTCCCTGAAATGAGTTTTTAGAACTTGGGATTTCTGGAGTATTGAGGAGTAATGTTTTGATTGGACAAAGCTCAGTGAGGAGTTAAAGGCTTTTTATACTGTACCACTTAATTTATACATTTAACTTCTAGCAAATGTTATTCTGTTGTTATTCTGATTATGATTCAGTCAAGTTGCCCTCGTTACTTAGAAAATTTACCTCAACTAAAAATAGTGTAGGGGCGTTATTTTGAAATGGTTCACAACACAAATGCATGCCAATATTTTCACAAATTTATTTGCAAAAGGTTTTGGAAAATGTTTGTTTTAAACTGACAATCAAATACAACAAAGTTTACTGCCGCAATGGGAAAAAATGTGGTACAGTTCAGGATATAAAACCTTAATGGGCACTATACAGCCAAGAAGTCACATCATTTTTATTGCTTTTCATCTTGACTGTGATCATTTCTTAATGAGGAATAATATATTTATATAGTGTACCTCTTGTTTTCCATCTGCTGCTCCATGGTTTTCAAAACAAACACAATATGGTTTGTTTCTCATTTTATCTCTGTTGTTGTCCTTGTTTTGTCTGAAGTGAGAAAAACCTGGCAGTACTTGCTATTTTGTTGCTGTTGGTTTATGATGTAGTCCGTCCTTCCAGCTATAATCTTTCTGCTTCGACATGGAAAGGTGTTTATACACAGCTCTTGGGAGGTATTTCTGGCTATCTCATCCATATAAAAAGCTTCACCCACAGGTTTGAATGTTTACTGTCATCTCTGTTCTTTCTTTCTCCTCTCCTTGGCCTCCTCTCCGACTCTCCCTCTTATGCATCTCCCAATGTTCCTGTTGCTGTTTTGGTGTTTCTCCAGGTCAGTCATCCAATGGATCCGTGGGGGAGGTGTCAATGCAAGTGACTTTAATCTCTCACCCTGGCACAGGAGAACACAAAATCAGCGTTAAGGGTGAGATTCCTCCTACACTCAGACCTGCCTTTGGTCTTTTTAAATCAGAAGTGTTCTCTTCTGCAGATTACAGTGGCATTATTGTTGGAAACTGTTATTTCAGAAATAAGTAGAGGGTTAATAAACATTTTGACATACCTAAACTAATCACAGTGAAACCTTAATTATTATAAAATACAGTTGTATCAGAGCTGCAGTGTTCAGCACAATTGTTTCATAAGTAAAAAAATATATATAAGAAAAACCATAGCAGCCTGGCATGTCTTGTTATCTAATTTGTGTTTAGTGTTTTAAATACAAAATAAGGTAGGAATTATGTTCCCCAGAAAGCATGCTTTCAGATAGCATTCAAATCGGTAATGATGGTAATGGTGTTATTCTGAGATTATCAGATGACTGCCAACATTTTATCAGTGTCAGACAAAAGCGTCTTATCTTCGTTTTAGGTCTGTTTTTATTTTTTTATAAAACGAACTATACTTATGGCCCTTCATATCTGTCTGTGGTCAATTAACAACCAGTGCCAAGTATGAAATAAACATACTGCTGGATTTATATTTAGCACTTCATTTTCATTTGTGTAAATCAAATCAATTTAAAATCTGATGAGGCGTTATGGTCAATCTAAATCATAAATTAGTTATATGTTTTTCATTTTTGTGGAGATTAATATTTATTTAGCAGTTGAGAGTTTTAATACATGTGGAAGGAAGCTGTTATCTCTGTGAGGTCTAGCTTTTATACTCTATTATTTGCCGGATAGCAGAATTTCAAAGAATTTATGGAGCAGATGTGAATTTCTGTTAAGTTTAGGGGTACAAGGACAGGGACAATGTCTAAGTATGCCATGTAACAAGAAAAAGAGATGAAATGTCAGACTGATAAAACAGAGATTTTTCTAAGGTCACTAACCCTAACCCATTCTATTATTTGCCTAAAGCTTTGCTCTTTCTTACCATCTAAATAGACCTTAACAGCAATTAAACATCTTTTGACATCTCTTAAAAACATGTTTGTATTAAAAAGTTGTTTGTTTTTTTTTTTCTTTTGCTGCTAACAGCTTTCGACCTTTAAAAGGTCCTGTTGTTTTTGTGAGCTTTAGTATTTTCTTATTATTGGACAGGAAGCAGACTTTTAAAATCCCCATTCAGGGTCTTTTTCAATATTAATTATTGTTTCTTCTTAATTTCAGTGGTTGGAGTGAACAACCTCATGTGGCAGACCAACGCTATGTTCCGGCCCTTTGTGGAGGTCAACGCTATCGGTCCACACCTTGCTGACAAGAAGCGCAAATTCAGCACCAAGACCAAGAACAACAACTGGTCTCCAAAATACAATGAAACATTCCAGTAGTGAGTATCAACTTTTGTTAAAAAGTTTTGCAAACAAGTAAATCAAGAAAGAGGAATAAAGAAAGTCCCCATTGTTTAAATATACTGCATTTTGTTTGCTTTAACCTAAATTAAATAAGAACAATTGACCTGTTTGCAAAAGGAGTCTTTACAACCTTCCCTATTATTACTTTATCGAGAGGATCTAATTTAATTATCTAGGATCTAATTATTTAGATTTATTTAGAAGTCCCTAGAAAACAGCTAGAAAATGTAAGTGACTGCTTTGTGAATCTAATCCCCCACACACTGTGTAAGGCGCAGAGCCAAGCAAGCTGAGGTTAACCACACCTGAAGGATTTCAATGTCACTGAGTGGCAAAAAAGTACTGTCTTGTACAGTATTATACTCAGGGGCGGAAATCTAATCTAATTCTCTAAAAAGAGAAATTTCAGTGAGTACAGTAATTATTTGGGGGGGACACTCTTTCTCTCTCTCTTGCTCCCTGATAGCTTTTCAGCGTATCATACATATTTTTTCTGAAAGTAATATTTGTAGCTTTAGTATTGCTCTTTATTAATTCATATTTTACCCTTATTGAGGTTTTTCTATGAAAGTATAATACTGTAAATCGGAGATCTTCAACAGTAAACAGATAAATTGAGGCAGAATATGTCTTTCAGTCATCAATGTACACATTCAGCGACACACAGGAAGCTGGGCACCGTTTCATTCACAACACCTGTCCCATCAACCAGGAATCAGAATCAGACTACCTTAATACTTTAATTATCCCAGGGTGAAAATACTTTCATTACATTACTCCATTTGTATTAGAGAGGCTATAGGACCAATTTGATATAACACAATTTCATACAATGAATATAAATTTGGGGAGTCCCCACTCCATCAGTTGGGGGTCCTTGGCCTGGAAAACATTGAAGACCCCTGCTGTAAATAATTGTACATCTGAACAAGTTTTTCTTATTTCATAATGCTGATAAAGAAAAGCTTAAAAACCTGACCTAAAACTCTACCGTCTGTCGAACTGCTGCTTACTCTCCGTGCATAGCTGTCTTGACATGGCCTAATAAAGGAATTATAAAACATATTTATAAGCATTTCATTCCTTTCTCAAAGACATTTTTATTATAGATGCTTTATATTGCTGTAGTTTTTCTACTTAGCTTCTGTGTTGGAGACCTTAAAATGACTGTAATACGATTTTTCTTATTTTTTTTTTTACTATTAAAAATTACCTGGTTGACTCACATTTGGACACACTCACAAACAACAGCAACAACACACATGGGAGATATTTTCATTAGCACACGCCCGCTACAAAACAAAACTTATTGCATGATTAAATAAGTGCAGGTTTTTTCCCAAAGAAGTGAAACAATGTTTTGTATATATATATATATATATATATATATATATATATATATATATATATATATATATATATATTTTTTTTTTTTTTTACCAATCATAATTTAGCGATCTTGGCAAACAAATAAAAAACAAATATCTATCAAAACAAACATTTAATTCATATAAGCACTACTGGGCTACAAAACATAATCCAAACTCTTACCTCAATTTTAAGTAAAGAATACATATACATTTTAAAGTTTGGCTCTCACAACTCTAAAATCTCTATTTCCCCTGCTCGCTCTGTTCCCATCTGTCACATAAGCTAGGCTTTTTGCTTAGTTACCAAGCTCATATGAGTGGCTGGTTTTTGACAAAATGGAAAAATTTCCCTTTTTATGTTTCTGATCCTGCGATGGACTTGCGACCTGTCAAGGGTGTACCCCGCCTCTCGCCCATAGTCAGCCGGAGATTGGCAACAGTACCCCTCGTGACCCCTACTGGGATTAAGCCTGACAGAAAATGGATGGATGTTTCTGTTCTTGCACTTATTGAACAAGTGATGTGTTAAGTGATTTACTGGCTTCTACTCACTGGTGGAATTTTATTATTAGTTTGACCCGATCTGCAAACTGAGCTTTCTCAGACTACCAGCCCATAGCTCCACCTTAGGAACAACATGTGCATGTGTCGACCAAACCAATTTGTAGGGTGAGTTGTCGATATCTTTTAATAATTAGGAAACTTTTTATTATTTTTTTATTATCTAACATGCTTTTATTGAATATTTACAGTGAGGAAAATACGTCATCGTAGGTGCATGTCCACTGTGAAAGACATAATAAATTTTTTTTTTTATTATCACAATATGTGATTTTTTTAACAATTGCTTTGTATGATACGCTGCAAATAAGTATTTTACACATCTGAGAAAAATCATGTTTGTTTACATTACAGAAGTCAAATGTTTCAAGCTGTTTTTCATTAGGGTTGCACATTGCAGGAGGGATTTTGGCCCACTCCTCGAAACAGTTCTTTTTTAGATCAGGCAGGTTTTTGGGCTGTTGCTGAGAAACACAGAGTTTGAGCTCCCTCCAAAGATTGTCATTTTAAAATGTTTAAATATTTACCATGATTTCCGCCTATGAGTACCAAACTAACTTTATCCAAGACAGCAATTAATATTTACTGTTGTTTTACTTGATACATTTAGATAGGCTAAAGATCTAGGCTTCAGATCTTCACCAGCACATCCCAAAATCCATAAATTAGATGAAGTAGGCAAAAAGTTGGATGGTAAATCAGTATAATAAAATGATGTTTCATGCTTCCCTCATTGTTTAAACTTATTGCACCCAATAATGTCATTTTGAAATATGGCTGTGGCAACAGTGAAGAATAACTGTTAAGTCTATGTAGTCCGCTGACCTTATTTTCTGTAATCTAAAGCCAACCGATAAAAAACTGTTGTACATTAGCTGATAGGCATGAATGATGACAATGGTTGCCAATTTTTATACACCAATGATCGCTCTGGATCAGCAGGGGAGAACATGTTTAATGACTCAATATGACCAGCTCTCTCCTTTGTCCTCCTAAGATCTGGTAATTTCTGAAAAAAACCTTAACCTTTCTTATCACTATTAATGTATGAGTGTATCTTTCTTTTATGCTCACAATTAACTGTTGAGTAACATTTAAAGTACTCAACAGAGAGAAACATTTATCCACTTATTAACCAAAGAATAATGGATGTACTTTCCTAATTTCCTTAATAAGTTTGATTGTTTGATTCACACCAATGATTCAAAAAGGATACTATGTGTCTTGTATTAAAGGTTTTTGAGAAATAAAACAGTCCTAAACTCAAGCAGGGGGATTTCATTGCATTGGTTCGGTGTCCCTTTGTAGGAATTATGTAGCCTGGGTGCCATTCCGAACTTAGTCCCGCCCACAACGTTTGAGGTCGGGAAGTTCGGTCTGGCATTGCTCAATAGTAGCGCGAGTATGCTCGCACAATATCTGGCGGGCCAATCAAATTGTCAGGGCGGGCTTTATACGATGATGGACAGATGATCAACAGTAACGTAATCAACCACGTCACCAAAGCACGCTTGGGTGACAACAACAATGGCTGCCGCTGGAGAGTTGAGGTGTGTAGATTCTGCTATTAGGTCTGTTCTAGAAGATATCGACAGCAAATTAATTTTAAAAGAGGAACAGAGAAACGCGATCAAGGCTCATCTTCTTATTTTAGGCGTGCAACTGCACGCTTTGATTTTTGTTGACAACAACTATGCGTTGCTTAAAATACGTCACGCACTCCGTTGTTCTTATTGGTTGTAGGTCTATCCAATTGAGTGCAGAGGCATTTTTTTTCCTGGTTCGTTCGAAACACGCCCCATAATCACAGCTCTATGGAGCAGTATCATACTCATATTCTGACTAGAATTGAGTAGGACTACGTCAGGCTAGGAATTATGATGGAGAGCTAATAAAAAGCCTTTGCATTACTGCTGTATTTTAACTCTTACTCACCTACATCAGATATAAATGATGATAAAGCAAGATCTTGCATACAAGCAGCTGTTATGAGCTTCTTATGTTAGGTGACCAGGCTCTGCCTTAAGCCGGCCATACACTGTAAGATTTTTTGCCCTTTCGGGCTGATTTTCCAGTTGTGTGAGAATTTTTTTTCGATCGGGCCGAGTTTCAGCCTCCTCGTGCATCCTATGTTGTGTAGTATACAGGAGGTAACGAAGGGCAATTAGCCTCTCATGACCACCTCCCGATCAGGAATTGTAAGGTCGAGAGAAAAGCAAAGATGTTTGAAATTCAGTTGGCCCCTTGAGGTCTTCGTGGACAGATTCTGCTGTTGAAGGAGAGCTACCAGCCAATTTACCAGAACCTCATGCACTGTGCATATGCAAACAAGGGAGTTCTTCTTCTTCTTCTTCCAGATTGACGAGTCCGACCAGCGCCATCTCTCTGCGCTGGGTCCGACGTGTGGTTTATAGACGTACAGTGTGAGCATGCAGATCGCATTAGAGCATCATGCCGCACAGTCTGAGAACATCCATTGTGAGCTGTGAACGTTTAAACCCTGCGGTTACATCATACAGTTTGAGCTGTAGCTGCGTGCAACGATTGAAAATGTCGCACAGTGTATGCCCGGTTTTAGCAATAGGATGGGAAGGTCCATTATCAGGAGGTAGTCAGGACATTGTTTGCTCCTATCATCACAGTTAGCCTCAACCGCATGTCTCCACTTTAATTTCAACATGGTAATGTAACTAACATAACATAAATCAGAGTTATTAATTAAACATAATATAAAAGTTATGTGGAATTTATTATTCTGAAAACAATTTCCCAATCATATTTTATGTTTTATATACAGTGCTACTCTTTTTTTTTTTTTAAAGACATGTGCAAATGATTTACTTGTTTAGCCAGGGAGTGCATGTTTAACTTTAACCCATTGTCAGAATAACAAGAAATCTTAAAGGCTTGGCTGTCCAAGAATAATGGCCTGTCTAAGTGGAGATGTTCACTGGCAGAACATGACTCAATTGTCTCATCCATGTCATACATATGATGAGAAACCTTTTCACAGCGAAAATGCCATCCAGTCATCCTCGCTTACTGACAGGTTATATCCAGCTGGGAACTGAAATAAATGTTGGGGTTCAGTTTGCTTTCATATACAGTTTCTCTGATAGACAGTTGGGATAAGATTGGGGTAATCTGCAGCCATGTTTTTTTAAAATAAGATACAAGTATCATTGGTAGTAACCGGATGAAATTTCTGGTAAAAAAAAAACAATATTCTAGTGTTATGTTGATCCAGTAAGCCCCTACAGCAAAAGAAAGTTTGCTCACGAAATAATTATAATAAGACTTCCTTTTTTTCGGTACGCTTTTTACAGATTGACAGAAAAATAAAGCACAAAACATAACAACAGTATGACACCTGTTTTTTTATGCTTTCTAATATGTTTAATATACAAAGCAGCTATGTTCCACTTTTAAGATCTGGATGGAGAGCAAAACAGTATTTTCTCTAGGTCAAATTTATGAGGGAACTTCTTTCCAATTTTTTTTTCAACTTAATATTTGGACATTCCTCTTGTCAATCATGAAGTGGCCCTAATGATGTTTGTTTGATTGTTTTTTTTTTCTTTTTGTTTTATGTCTGTGAAATAATACGGCAAGCTCTAAAGGATCTGATGTACTGCTACTTTGAAATGCACAAGATTGTTGTACTTGGAAAACTTTGTATTTATGAAATTGGTATTTATTTGAAAATGTTTGAGAACCCTCGACAGCTAAAAGAACTTCTTATAGGTCAAATCAATTACAGCTTCTGCTGAGATGTTACTTAAATAACCATGAAGTTTAAAAAAAAGAAAGAGAATCTCTCCTTACATCCACAGTAAGAAAATATGGCTTCTGCATTTGACCCATCCCTGGAAAAGTGTACTGCCAGTGTTTAAACCGGCAAACTTCACACACTTATAATAATGATATAATATATAATATGGAACCCCTCTCTCATATTTTTTTGTCATTTCTTGCAGCGTTCTGAGTAATGAACATGGTCCAGAGGTCTACGAACTACACATCTCAGTAAAAGACTACTGCTTTGCCCGTGAGGACCGCATTATCGGCATGACGGTCATCCCGCTCAAAGAGCTGGCAGAAACGGGCAGCTGCGTGGCCTGTTACCCGCTGGTTAAGAGCATCACCATGGACGAAACGGGCCTCACTATCATGAGGATACTCTCTCAAAGGACCAATGATGAGGTGGCCAAAGAGTTTGTGCGTCTCAAGACTGACACCCGATCAACGGAGGAAGTGTCATAGTGTGAAGTAAATTAGGAAAAAAAATGCAGTATTAAGAGTTGTGTTGTCTTCAGATCAGATATAGCAGGTGGAGAAAAGCGAGCATGGTTGCAGCCAACGTTGGGATAGACGCTGGAAACAGCATCAGAATGAGTTCGTCCAAAGAGAGGAGAAAGAGGCCCAAAACTGGCAAAGCAGCAAGAGTGAGAGTTGTGTTTGTTTTTTGTGCATGTGTGTAAAACATCTGTTGGAATGTTCATTTTAAAACTAAAGTATGTACAAGTGTTTACTTACCGTATGCTCACTATTAAGTACTATATTCTACGAGTTATTGTAATGAGACATGGATACCTTTTGTACAACATTTAGTCTTTTTGAGCAGAGATTTGTTCCAATAAAGTGCCAAACCAGTGGAAAAAAAAACAAAACAAAAACAAAATTAACATATATGAATTATGGTGAAGTTAGTATGTTTGAAATTTGCTTGGTTATTTTGTCCGGTGTAAGTAATTTTCTAACCGTGTGGCGTTTTGATTGTTGCAGACCTCTTTATTTTGCACCCTCAGTCTTCATTTATGGCTTCCCGTTCTTCCACTCTGCACTGTTGTGCATGTCTTCTCAATCATGTCTCTCCCATGATTCCACAGTGACCGCCGATCAGCGTCCTGTTCCTTGCCTTCAAACTGTTTGTAGTTTACGTCGACCTGAAATCAGACCGAGTTTTTTTTAAATGGCAATGACTGCTATGTAAACCCTCGTAGATGTTTGTAATTTTATAAACGTGAAAACGTTGGTAAAAGCCTCCAGTGCTACAGTCTTAGCAGAGAGAGTGGATTTACTTATTTATTTACTTTAGTTTCTTTGGCTTTTTGTTTTCATGTTTTGTTTTTTTTATTTTATTTTTATTTTCGCTTCCAGCCTTCCTAAATGACCACTGTGAACATGAGCTTTGGAAGGCAAGCTTATTTAACATCGCTGATACTCTGATATTGAGATTTTGTATTTTTTTCCGATAAATTTGTTCCTCATAAACTGCCAAAGTTATATTTCCTATTTGTACAAGAGCAATTCATTACATGTATGAAGACATATATATGTACACGTGATTTATTACTTTTTCAAAGCTAAATCTTTGTTGATAGGGTGATACTAAGATATTATTTTATTATTTCCTGTGAAGCTGTCTAAATCTATAAAGGTTGCACATGTTATTTTACACATTACTTTCACTTTTATCATTGGAATTATTTTTCTCATAAAGGAAAGAGTCTAACATTTGGTAAATATGCAACATTCCTATGTATTGCACTGATGGCAAATTGTATGTCATGTAAATATATTTAGTGAGATATTGTAAAAAAAAAAAAAAAAAAAAAAAAAGGTCTAATTTTCTTCTATGTGCATAAAGTTTGTGCAAAAGTGATAGTATATTTGGGTCATTTTGAACATTTTTAGCTCTCATGAAAAAAGTTAGATTATTATTAATATTATGGTTTCCTTGCTCAGGGCACCAAAATGCTACACTGTAATTTAACGTGACAAAAAAAAAAAAAAAAAATATATATATATATATATATATATATATATTTGCTCTACGGTAAATCCTTTTGAACATTTTCACCTTTTTTTCATGTTACAGTAAAACCATATATTTAAATACGTAATAGGGGCTTATGGTACACAGAGGTTCCATGAATATTCAGGCTTTCAAGGTACATTTCAGTCTATTTTCATAAGGGCACAGAACCTACTGATTCAGCTGTACCTAAATGCAACCAGTCTTGATCCTGGGAAAATCCTCTCAGATCAACTGAGAGTCTTTAAACTTACATAAGTTATATACAGTTTAGGCAACTGGATACACAATGTATCCATTTAGATATCAGCCAATTCATTCTCCAGTTCCAATGATGTTCACACTCAACTTTAGGTTGTTATTAAATGAATAAAAGGGAGCTATGTGCCTTATTACTTTTTAAAAATGCATATGCTGACATAACGTGTTGGCTCAATCTACCTTTTTCTCCCTGCTATAGCTACATGCAATACCTTAAGGCTGCCCGGTTGAGTGAACTTCTCTTCATGGATGTCTGTGCGTACTTCAGGTGGACCAAGTGTGAACGTCTGGGAGAGTCTGTGCAAAGCTCAATTTTTACAATGTTTATTTTCACAAACAATGTTTAAAACAGTAGGGAGCAGCATTTACTGTACACAAAAATTGGTAAGACAATACAGTATGTGGACAGACCATATCAGGCAGCAACACACTGATCTGAGCAACCAGTTGCAATAATGGCATATTCACCATCACTCTCTACTGTATGTACATTAACAAATTTTCAGTGGTTTCCCACTACCGTCTTTTGTTTTGCTCTTTCAAAGCCAGATGTTAGATTTGCTGGAGATGAACCTGTAACCAGTAAAAGTCAGAAATTAAAAAGTCAAACAATTAACATGTACATTTTGTAAAGCTAAACATTGCAAAAATCAAATGCTGAAAAAGCAAACATTGCTGCTGAATAATTGAAAATACTTTGATTTCATGTCAAATCTTTTAACTTAGAGATGGTTTCAGTGTACTTAAGTTAGGATACCGCTACAAGTTGGCACTTGGCTCCGGTGTGGGGCCAAATAGTTTTACCAGTATTTCTCATCATCTACAGTACTTGCAGTGAACACATGGAACAGTCTGATACAAGTACTGTGAAACTAGTGCTAAACCACAAATAAGAGTATTATTTTATTATAATAAAGTCAGTAAAGTCCCTGCAGGACATGGCTGTGCTGCTAACCTTTTTTGTAAATGATGCTAGTGTATTTTTAAGACTACGCATGCAGAAATGATACTTTCTAACTTCTAGGGAGATGGGAGCAATACAAAATTTTAAATAAAAAATCAAGATTCTTTTGTGCTATATTAAGAAAAATAACTTTTAATTAGTGGAGGGACGTGATTAAATTCTTAATCAAGTCAATTACAGGGTCTAATTAATTAATCGCTCTCATTCACATTTTAATCAAAAACCAAATCAACAAAATAAACCAACTTTCCCATTCAAAAACCTTTTTTTTCCTCCTTAATTATTGAATAAATCAATATTTGAGGAAAGCAATGCATGCATTTTGGGTAATAAATTGATTTTTTAAAGTTATTAAACCATCAAATTGGTTGAATGTTTGTCATTTAGTTGTATTAAGAAACCCCTGACATTTTCTCATTAAAGCAGTTGTTAACACAAATAATCCAATGTACTGGTCTTAGGTCCTTCCTAACTGCCAGCACATTTCTGATAGCTGTTCCTATTCTGATTTATCATGGTAAATGCAGAGGTACTTCTACCGTAGCTGATATGCCCCTAAGTATTTCAGTTATTTGGTTTACGGAATGGGCTGTGTCTGAATGTTGGTTCTAATCACCACATAGAGCACTATACTGTATACTGTAAGGGTTACCCCATTTTAAATGAGTAACCAAAAAGTCTAGTGGATGAAAAAGTAGTGGACTCAAAATTTCCCACAATGCACCTTGAAAAGTAGTGATCATCCATGGTCACTAGATGAGCAGATTTATCCCGGAATACTTTGCGCAGAAAGCTTTCCTCGCAAAGCATTATAGGATTAGCTGCCACAGCGACCTGCTACCTACCTGTCACTACCTGACAGCTGTGTCTAAAACAATAATGCAAGCACCACTCGCTGGAGTCGGAGTTAAGTGATCAACTGGGAGCGAAATGTAGGGATCGTGTCTGAATGGTCAGTGAAATAAGTTCACTATAAAGTCCACTATATAGTCCCTGCTCTATATAGTGATTGAGGTATCTAGATGTTAAGGGCTGACGTACATTGTTCTTCATGCTAGAATAATCCCAGTGGATCAATGCCAATGATGCAACATGTGCGACATTTTTACTGGTGTGCAAGAAACAGCCCATGTATATAAGAAAATATAACAAAGGCAATACTATTAAATTAATACCCTTTGTTGTGGTTAAGCAGCAGTGTCTGAACTTTACACTTCCATGAGATAACTGCAGGCAGATGATGAGTACTGAAAAAAGGAAAGGTTCCTGAAGTAGCCTTCAGTGTAGCCCTTCCTTCAATGCCAAAACTAAAGTAACTTTCCACTGATATTGGCTGTGTCAGAACATCCGCCCTAACCCCTTTATCCCTTTAAAGAGTGGGGCCTATATGTAGTGGACTTTACAGTGAACTCAGTAAGCTGACTATTTGTACAGATGACCACTACTTTTTGCTTCAGTCATAAGACTATTTGAGTCATAAGACTCCAGCTGCTTGAACGCTGCACCATCTCTATTTTTTTCTTGCCCCAAAACAAATCCCATTATCCTATGTGAGGGGAGGTCTTGCAAATCATTCTAAGATATATCTGCTCATCTAGCGACCATGGATGCACACTACGTTTCAAGAGGCATTGTGGGAAAATTTTATCTCACAACTTTTTCATCCACTAGACATTTAGTAACAAAATGGCATAAGCCCTATATAGTGGTTTATATAGGGGTTAGGGCAGACGTTTGGACAAAGGCATTGAAACCATCTCTAAATGAAAAAAAACTTGAACATTAATGTGAGTATCATATGTTTTATTTTTCAAACAATATTTACATTTTCAATGTTTTAAGTTTTCAGTTTCACTTTGATCCATGTTTTCTGGATTATTTGAGTTCTTAGGTAGTTCTTGATTGCCCTCTGTTGCCCTCTTGTGTTGTCTCCTTTTCCCTAGCTCCTTTCGAGAATCCTCTGTTCACACCTGCTCCCAATCAGCTCATTAGTCCTGTCTTTGTTCAGTCTCCCATATAAACTCTCCCTGTGCATTTCCTCAGTGCTGGTTCAATGTCTCTTCCTGGCTCCTCGTGCATGTTTCCCTTATGTCTCTCAGGTTCTTTTTTTTTTCTGTATTTGTTATATTGGATTTTTGGCCTTAGTTGCCTGTGAGTATTTTATTAAATCTTCAAGAACTCAGCTCTGCCTCCTCACCTCTGCACTTGGGTCTTCAATCTCATCACGCATTGTTGACAGAAAAAAAAACAGAACCTTGGAGACATCAGGGAAACAACACATGTTCTCAGGACACAGGCTGAACTGTTTAAGCAGAGTCTACGGCACTAGACACCCTAGCCATTGCTACTGCAGATCCGTTCCACCAGTTTTTAAATAAATGCCCCTTGAAGTTATCCAACTGTCTGTCTTGCGTGACTGACTTCCTCTGTTCTGAGTCTTTACAGAATAATCTGACCAAACACGGACTCATCGTCAGACAGACATTGACTTTGTGAGGTTGAACAATGTTTTCTTTTTTTTATATATATTTTTTGACTCGAGTCAGGCTTACTGGAGTTTCTTGATTAATTGTGTTTTCAGGCTACCTCTGCTTCTGTGTCACCTGCTGTCTGAAACCATGTTTCACTCTGTTTTTTTTTTTTTTTAGTATTATTCTGATCTGTCTGGTTTTCTACCAGAGCACAGTTTGGCAGTAAAAAGTGTTTCACCAAAGTTTCCTAGTTTTCAGGTCATACATACCTTTATGTGCTACTTTGTGTCACACATAATATAATATAATTAAATTAAACTTATTTCAAAAAGACCAATGTGAAAATTTAAGGAGTGCATAAACAGTTTTTAAGCGTTAACATCTAGTTATAATGCTTCAGCTGTTTACACCTTTTGGCTGTGTAAAGTATTTTATGACTTGCAGTGGCTCAAGTATATCTGCACAAACTGGTAATAGTTCATGCAAGACTTAAATAGCTTTTTAATAAGTGCTTCTAAGAGCATCACAGCAAAGCTCACATTTTCACTCTTCAGCAGCAGTAAATGTAGCCTTGCCAAGTAATTGATTAAATCAGTTTCAAGGTCAGACGGTAAAGCATAGACACTTGACATTTGAGAATAAGCAGGGGTGTCTAAGATGAAGATTGTTTAAAAAAGGCTTATGTAAGTTTTTAAACCCTTTTAGCTTTTTTTCAAAATTTGAGTCTGACAAAATCAAATTGAATATTGGGTTTATTAAAACAATGGAATAAGGCTCACTGCCCAGTGCTGCAAATGGTTAGGGGAACTTGCTCTCTAACTAGAGACTAAATGTTGCTTTTTTATGGTAGTAGGAGATATTCCTACTGCAGTGCACTATGTAATGAATTTAATTAGTACCTTACACTCTTAATTAGTGACTTAAGTGTCAGATTTGATTTACAGCATCCAATTTAGCACTTCGGTAAAGGTTTATTTCCTTTTTCTTTTTTTCAAACAACTTGCATTAGAATATAAGTTCATCAAAATGTGATCAAGCCCTGAATTCTGTACAGGGATAATTTATAGATT